CTGATCGCATCGACGCCCATTGAGAAGGGCATGCGCTTCGCCATGCGCGAGGCTCACAGGGTCCGCAGTGCCGAATAGAGGAACACGTGCTCGACGTGGTCTAAATTGATGGTCATTTCTTGGTTGGAGTATTTGGACATATTATCATATTTGATTTGGACTATGTTGGAGTCATAGATGGTCATAGAGTTCCAACTTGTCCAGAAGCACAAACCAACAACTTGCAAAATACAGCAGATCTGCATACTGCATCATACTGCATCATACTGCTGCATGCTGCCTCACGCCAGGGTGGCAAGACGATTGGGCAAGGTTTGATCACCGAGACCGTTTAAAAAAGGCGGGGGAATGGCCGCTTGCCACTAGGAACAAGGACGCTACTTCGTAGCTCCTGGCCTTACTACTCGTAGCAAATAGCTACTAACCAAAGGGGCATCGCTACGGAGCGGTCGGACGCACTGTGGGCTGTCTGGTCACACAACCCACTCGGACTTGAAGACACGGCAATCAGCCAGATCCTGGAAATAAAACCAAAAGGCCAGGTTGGTGAACCACGTAGCCTCACATGGAATCTTTAGCTTCACCTCCTGTAAACAGAACATGTGCATACTTGTACTGAACTTGTACTGATAATTACTCACACAGCTTTTTCCGGGGTTCTCACAAATAGCGGCCCAAGCAAGCTTCAACTATAAGCTCCGACCAGGCCCCTCTGCAAAGCATCATCAGCGATTTTGCGCAACCCAAGTGTTCCAGTCAAGTTTTGTTGGCCAAGGGCAGTAGGCTCAGAGGTCCATCAATTGCTCAGGCCCAAGCTATACCAAACTCGCCAATTTGGGAGGTGAGGTTTCCAAGATTGAACATGACACCCTCACATTAGTTGTGAGACCTACCCTGCTCAGGAGCACGCGCGAACCGGTGTTTCAGGGGTGGGAACTCACACGGCCTCGGCCAGGTGCACTGAGAACTCGCATGAAGGAAGAACGCAGCATTTGTTCTGCTCATAGAAAAGCTGACATGATTTTGGGTGGCCCCCACAGGCCCCATGTCATTTTGATGGATTTTGACCTGATGTCAGAGTTTGGTCCCAGAAAAGCTTGTTTGGCGTTCTTTTTCGGGTAAGTAAGAGCTGGCCAGCTTTGGGGACCACCCTGGATCTGATAGATTTTCTCCTTTCGAGGAAGGCTGAGGTTCTTCGGATGATGCTGAGGCTTGATGCTGAAGCTTCCGCCGCCAGTCGGAAAACTTTTCTGCCCAGCCCCCCTTGCTGAAAAGGATGGTTAGCTGCCTTTTGGAAGCAAGTCCTGACAAGTGCAACATTTCTAGTCCTATGCCTCATTGGAGGAAGCATGTAGGGAAGGCTGGTTCGTGATGGGAGGCTGGGCAATCTTTCAGCTGCGGTTTTCTGGCGGCTCTTCACCTGTATCCATTGAGATAAAGACGGCGAAAGCGCGGTTCGTGCTGAATCTGCTTGTGAGCATTTTTGCAAGTCTCAGAGTAAACATACCAAACCAAACCTACTGAGCCAGGCTGACAGGCTTGAGTTGATTCACTTCACTCCTCTTCTCACAGGTTGACCTCCTCCGATCCCCACCGAACACCGCGGTGTGCGGGTGCCGACCGCACCGCGCCGTCCAGGTGCGACCTTCTTCGACCTCTCGCCCGCAGTCATCGAAGGCGCTCCCCGCGTCCTGCGCGGACCGGTGCCGAGGGGACCAGCGCGGGGGGCGGAGCGCGGTGCAGCGTGGAGGACGCGCAGGACGTGGAGAATGTTGGGCTTGGGCGGCTTGGGCCTCCGAAAAGCGCGGCGCTGTTCGCGCTTTTGGAGCGTGGGCAGGTAAGAGTACTCAGGGCAAGGTGGGCTCCACGCTGCTGGTCTACAAGGTCTTCATTTGCGCCCAGGAGGGGTGTGAGTTTTTGAAGCATCGAATCTATAGGTCCTGTCTCAGTGTAGGCCTAGAGTTTCATCCATTTTCATGGATCTTTACGAGACATGTCCACCTCCATGTCGTGATTGGCCTCCTTCGCGGCCTTTTTGGACCCCAATTCGTTCCGGTTCCCATCCGTGAGGACATGGCGCCCTCCGTGATTTACATTGACAACGTGGAGCAGGTCTTCCAGGCCGCGTTCGCTTCCGGCGGCGAAAACGGCGCGCGCGCCGGAACCCGACGACCGCGACCGCGCGAGTCGAATAAGTCGAGTCTTCCGCGGTTTTTGGTGGGGTTTTTTCGGGTGCTTTTTTTGAGGCCACCAAGAAGAAGAAGGGTGGAGATGCTGGCACTGCGCCCAGCCGGATCAAGAAGGACTGAGCTTTCTTTTGCAGGATGTGGCAAAGAAGCGGAGTGCAGGATCAAGAAAAGGTTTCTATAAAGCCTATCGCCGTCGAACCATCACCCCCTTGCAAGTCTTTTGGTTTATGCCGATGCCAGTGGCATCCTTTTAAACATAGACTCCGACTCACGAACACATGGAAGTGGACGCCTGGCCGCAAAAGATGATGTTCCTTTACCAAACAAGCATCGCTGGACTCTCCGCGGTGTCTTCGTTGTTTGTTTTCGTGTTGCGCCGACCCCCGCCGATCTGAGAAGAGGATTTGCAGGCAGCCATCAACCAGGTGAAGAGATTCGATGAGGCGGAAGATTTCGGCGCGAGAAATTGGGGTTTTCCACATCGAACGCTCCTCATTCTACCATTGGCGATGGGCGATTTCAAAAAGCACCAAGAGTTGGCGTTTTTGATGCACAGAACAGGCCACATGCCCAAAATCACGCGCACTGTTGCACCACAAGTTCCCACTGTTGCACCTGGTAGTAGTGGCTCCCCTTCCAACTATGGATTCGGACAGATCTGTGGTCTGGGGCCCCCGCCGTCTCATGCCCCCGCGGGGTGGGAAACCCGCCAGGCCAACGAGCAGGACCGGATCCTCTTCATCGGTGCCACCTCCAGGCCCTCCGGAGACGGACCGGAGAGGATTGGACCCGTCTCGACGGGCGGCAAAACAGGACGCCGTCTGACGGCGTCAGTTAGAAGCCACGACGCGGAACCATGTCGAACCATGCGGAGCAACCCCAAAATCTAAGAGATCTGGGAGACATGGTCCCATGAGAATGCCACATAGTCTTTGAGTTTCTTTTGCAGATCTCCTGAATCCTGTCGCGTACACTGCAAAATGGACATCCGCTGAGAAAGAATATTACCCCAGCTTCCATGCTGTTTCTGTGGCTGCGAGGCCCTTTGCTGATGGGGTTGATGTAGCTGGCCTGAAGGACTCCTTCGACGAGAAGGCTGGAGATTCGGCTGTATGGTTCCTATTTTTCCCACGATCTCTTGGCGTGCATTAGAATGAAACCAAAAGGATGTAGAATCAATTGCAAAATCTAAGAAGCACCCATAAAATACCATTAAACTATTTTATAACCAGTAATATTTCTTGTTTGGTGGGATTAGTTCTGTTGACATTAATAGCCCACTATTTTTTTTCAAGAATATTATTACACGGACACTGGGGGGAAAGAGTGCCAAAGTTGAATTGAGATTCATAAACGGGGGATAGAGAACACCAATCCCACAATCTCACAATACATAGTATTGGGTGGTTCTCGTTTTGGATGTTTGATTTTATCAGCATCGGGATACTTTATTTCACGGGAGATGCTCTATTTTTCAGAAAGTCTTCGTGGCAGATAGAGCAGGTCATGCAGTGTTTTTCGCACACCATGGCTTTTTACACGCGCAACGTTCCGGTCTGGACCGTTCGTTACGCTCGGCACGGGTCCGCACCGAATTGTTTCAACGTCAAGAGCCACGGAACGACCTGTTTTCCGGTCAAAGCAACTGGAGGTTTTTTGAGACACCCCAGCGACGAACACAAGCGACTTCGGAAGCGGCCAGACATGGAGATCTCCCGATGTCTAAGGGTTTTCCAACAACTCCTTGGTTTTAGTTTTCGTTCTCTAAAAACCATCTCAACCTTTGCCCTCCGATCTGGTCAGACCGGGACGGTCAGACCATGTCAGACCGCTCATGCCGCGGGCGGCCGTCGCCCGGAGGTCTGGGTGAGCTTCCCGGAGTACGGGAGCCGCGTGGTCTTGTGGCAGCGCTTCATGGAGAATCACGGCGTGACCGTGGATCCGGTGAAGCTCAACATCTCGACCTTAGCGAGAGCAGCGACCTTGGGCGATGCGGAAGATTCTTTTTTTATTAGTTTCGATGTTTGATGATCATTTTCAGATCTCGCCACAGGTGCAACATGGTGCAACATGTTTCATGATCTTGACATGAAATCCCACTGGCAAAGGAGGACTGAATCTGGAGACCTGCCAGGCATGCCACCACCAAAAAAGTCGGTCGGGAAACTCGTTTTTCAACCTCTTCAGCCCTGAGGTCAGCGAGGGCTACCCCGCAGGGTCTATCAAGCAGACGGTGCCTTGGCGCTCTGGGCCAGTCTGGGCTCTTGATCAAGGAAAGGTTTCCAGTTGGTAGATGACTCCTGGATGTGGTTTGGGGTATCACAGTGAACAGTTGCCTTCATTTGGAACTAGTCAATATCTTTTTCAATCTCCTTCGTCTAGTTTTCGATGTTGGCCCTCTGATGACCCGATCACAATCAGGTTTCCTTTTTGGCTTCAGCCCAGAATGCCTTTCTTGTGACTAGGGCTAGGGTTCTTTGGGAGGTGCTGGTGCAGAGCCAAAGTGAAGGCATACAGATTCTCAATGGACATCCCCAAAGACCAACTTATAGGGCCTAGCTTGGGATTAGCGACAGAGACAGGGGGTGCAGCTTGAAGGGGAAGCACAAGAAAAACCCAACTTAGAATTTTGTACCAAAAGTAAGTGTGGAACTGTGGAACGAATTGGAGCTAGCCCTGATTTGGGGCCAGGGGTTGAAAGACTCCTATTGGTTTACCATTGGGTTGAGTCTTGCACCTCTCCTGTAGCTTGCGTGGCAGGTGGATCGGGTGCTGACTGCCCGCAGAGTTCAGCAGCTCAAGAATCGGCCGCTCAAGGCCTGGCAGAGCCGAACGGATCCGAGCGCGAGCGCCGTCGCACGAGGGACGGCGCTTGAGGAGCAAGAGCGACGTCTGGTTTTTGCATTGCTTTCTTTTGTGCTCCAGGAAGTGTGGGTTCTTCAGTTGCTTAGCGGCCAAACATTTTGATGTAAGAATTTGAAGAGAGGTTAATGTCAGATGCCCTCGTGAAACGCAGTCGCGAACGATTTCCCGCATCAAAAGCGTTGCGAAAGGTCGCGAAATCAGTTCCGTCAGGAAACCTTCTGAACCTGGTTTTGCGCAGACTGCGGCGCGCGAAAGCCAACATGCAAGCCGCCAAAGTAATGCGAAGGAACTTGCAAAAGAAGAGAACACATGAGAACCAAAATTCTCCAGCAGAATTGGTTCTCAGCAAACCACAGTCCATTTGGTTTTGAAGAACCGCTCAATTGTGTGTCACCTCAACCAAAAAGCGACCCGTTTTCACCTGTTTCCACTGAGACCAGTCTACCCTTCTAAAGAGGCAAAGACTCAAAGGAATGGTCCTTTGAGGGTACCTGATTGCAGGAATTTTGTGTACTTCACTGGGGCCAAATATATCCAAATATATATATATAATATAATATATATATAGTCTTTTTAAAGGGACCATTTTTTGACTTTTTTCCATCCAGGCCCACCGCGGGGAGTGGTGCTTCCAAGTCTCACGGGTCTCATGCCCAACACGTCCGGCCCCTTCAGGGCCCATCCGGGGGTGTTGGTTCGTTGGAAGACATGTGAAGCAAAGAGAGAACCATTGAGACGGATGCATGCCCAGATTGGCCGCTTTGCTGGGGAACATCTAGGGACACCATCGTGGCCGATATGTGTTTGATTTGCGGACCAAAGACGACATAATGGTACTGGTGCTCTCAACCAGGTCTGCGAGTCTATCTTCCGCGTGCACGTCCTCCCTGCCAGGTCCAAGAGTTCATTGGCCCCCTCTCTCGCACCGCCTTCTGCTGGAGAGGGGAGATGGGATGTGTGGCGGTACTACGCACGGCGGTCCGGATGGAGGGGGAAAGGCACGTCATGCTGGGCAGCTGGTGCTGCAAGCCATCATTGGTGCTTGGGACGCAGTGAAAACCTCACGAAAGGGGCGGTACTACGTAAGACGCGCAGTTCAACCGCGAAAAGGAAGAAAACACACTCCCACGTGCGCGCCTTCTGGCTTTGGGCAGGAAGGAAGAACTGGACCAGTTCCGGACCTTTGACCACCTCATCACGGGCGAGAAGGTTCGGGATTTCCGTGGAGTTGCCCGGAGATCCGTGTCTCGGGAGACGTTGTGCGAACGAGAAACCGGTGCTTCTTCGGACCCGTTCAGACGTTGAACAGATGAAGCCGCGACAGGATCACTGATTCACCGACATCAAGGGAATCACGGTAGGGGGGGGTCTCCATGGGTCCCACTTTTGACGACCGAAGGTCACCACCGTTCCACTGGAACCCACCTGCGACGCCCCGAAGATGCGGTGCGATCTGCTCCCAGGCGCGCGAAGACGCCAAGAACGCGCCACCGGAGGCCACCGCGGCCGCCACAGGAACATGCGGATCACTTGTGTGTGGAGGCTACAGCCCAACAAAGACCACTAATTACACACTATGATTATCTATGATTAGGGTGGCACAGTGGTTGATGTGATTTGAGGGGTCCAACCGAAAGACTCACAAGGAATCTTCTCTCAGCTTATCAGACGACAGTAAGCGGCATCGCTACTAGTAACAAGGGCATCGCTACGTCCGTAACAAGGGCATTACTACTAGTAACAAGAAGCTACGTCCGTAGCTATTTGCTACTATCTTACTTTTATTCGCCCACCAGGAGAAACGACCGGTGACCGCGACCGTCCGGAGGTGTCCCGACCGCTTCGGCCTCTTTCGTCCCGTCGACAGGCCGCGCAACCGAAGAAGAAGGGGAAGGGAAAGTAGAGAGGCCCCCGCCTGGGCGTGGCCGAAACGGGTGGCATTGTGAACCGGCGAAACGCGATGCAGCGGGTGGTCATGTTTCCCATGTTTTCGTATAGGAAGCATTCGACTTCGCCGAAAGTCATACAGAACACATGTCGGCAGACCCTTCTGACCCTTCTGTTAGCAGACCCTTCAGACCCTTCAGAAAGGGTCTGTTATCAGAAAGTCGGAAAGAATTAGCAGACCCTTCTGTTCTCCTGTCGTTTAGTCGTTTGACCGACACGCAGACTTCAAGCCAACCAACTGACAGGAACGCTTTTGATGAGACTTGGTTGTGTTGAGTTTCACCTCCCATCGCGGAAGTTGCATGATGTAGCATGATGTGCCGTGCCGGTCTGCGGGCAACACACATGCAGAACATTGCAGAACTCTTGGTTGAAAGTGCAGTTGAAAGTCCTGCTTGATCAAGTTCATCTCTGGGGATACTTTTTTTGAAAGCCTGTCGGGCAATCTTCCGCATTGTCCGGGCGGCCGCTACGAACCTGGAGCTTCATAGAAGGAGCTCCTGACGTTTCACCTGATTCATATGCCCGGCCAGGGTCAATTGCGGAAAAAGCATTGGATGGGGTTCGGGTTGGAAGGATGTGGGATGTCTTAACTACATAAAAGGAGCCTGCAATGATGAAGAGATGCGCTCTTCTTATCTTTTCTTCGTGGGGTTTCCTTGCAAAAACGACGCCCAGCCGGCACCAGCGCCCCTCGGAGCGCTGGTGAGTGATGCCGGAGCTGTTCGGTGTGAACCCCCCAAGGATCCACCGAAGCCAAGCCGTTGCGAGAGCGGAGACCTCCCACAGATGACATCAGATCACCGCGTAAATCTGAGTATATCATTACATGAGGCGCCCCTAGGCCCCTAGGCAGCGGAAGCACCACCGAAGCACGTTTGGATTTCTGACCCGAAGAGTCGGGCGTCGGCTGGGGCGTCGGCGATGTGCGGTGCTGCCAGAGCTTTGGACATGGCGAGGAGGACGTGCCTTTCCTGGGTGTAACACATGTGGATCCCGTGAAAGGCAAGACCCTTCAGACAATGGTGAAAGCTGAATGTGACCGGTAGAGGAAGCAACATGACCCTCCAAGATCTCCAAAGGTATCTGTGCGACTTCCAAGTGTTGGAGGGATTGGAGGGAGTACAGCTGCCCCTTATCACATGACTTTCGCAGCCATGTGATAGAACACTTGCAACTGCCCACACTTTCAACTTTTTCTTCTCTGCTTTGTGTTTTCGACCTGAGGAGAGCTGGAGAGCAGCGCTTCAGCAGGTGCAGCATCCGGGTGACGACGCAGACGCCGTGCAGGACATCTTTGAATGGGGCAAAGAGTTCTAGATGCATGCCCATGCCGAATGCCCAAGGCCGAGGTTTAAGGTATATACACCCTTCAAGTCAGTTAGACCTCAAATTTTACTGGAGATGGAACAACACAAAACCGATACGGAATAGGAAGTAGTCTAGACCAGGTTTTGGACCTGGGTCAGACTGGACTTGTAGGGATAAGTGAGTTCTTGTAGCCAGAGGCCCCTCCAAGGCCCCCCAGCTTTAACGCCCCCTCAGCTTGGGGACGAAGCTCGGCGGGTCGTAGCCAAAAGAAATGGTCGTAGCTGGGGATGCCACGCAGCCGTTTGGTTCATAACAGGAAGGGCGGGCGCAAAACAGGCGCGGCGCTGGGGAGTTGGTGCCATGTCGCAGGGCACTTGGTGTACCTGGTCTAAGGGGAATTTGGAAAGAAGTTTCTTCCATGATCAGTACAATATTAATAGGATGCAATTGGTTGGTTGGTTGGTTGGTTGGTTGGTTGGGCTCAGTGTCACTGATCCGGCACCCGCCGGTGTCCTCCGGTCACCGTCACCCGTCACCTCGTCACCCGGTCAACGCTTCGTCCGGCCCGCGGTTTCGAGCGATCGATGCGACCCTGGCACTAACGAACCTGAAAACATCTGAACACCTGGGTCCTTAGTATCCAGGGAAATGCGGAAATGCCTTGAGGCTGCGGCAGAAAAAGACCTCCGGCTGCAAAGTGGGTTCCAGCTCATGTGTCTTGCCATGGGTGTAATGATCTTCATCTAGCGGTTGCCCGTTCGTGCTCTTGGGGAGCTGGGGTGGCTTCTCATGCTTGGGAACTTTGTAAGATGCAGCGGCATATGCGTGTTCATTGCTTGTAAGCGTATGCTTTCAATTTCTCACAGCCATGACTAATATTGCCTTAGTACGGAGTGATCCACAGACACCTTTCACGACCGGAACGCTTCACCTAGGTCCTGAACGCAAGTCTACTGGCGGAATCTCTCGACATCCCGTATTTCTGCATCAAGATAAATTGATTACTCAATTGGCCGGATGACCCGCTTCCGCCTGAATTCATATGGTCCGCCTAAGGTTGCTGCAACCTTTGAAACTCACAGAGTTTGAATGAGTTTGATCTTTCTTTTTTCCGGTCCCTGTTACCATTTGCGTCATTTTTGTTGTGCCTGTCGACACTTCGGTTCTTTCGGCACCCGACCTTCGGCAGCGTCGCTGCTAGACCTCGTGTGCTGGTCTTCCTGGTTTTCTGGTCGACCTGGTTCTTCCTTGGTCGTCTGCAGGGGGATGCCAGTCCTTGAGTGTTCCAAGATATCCTTAAGAAGTCAAAGATATAAAAGAACTCCCTGGCTGACCTGGTGCCACCAGGCCAAGCCACACGAGCGATTCGCGTGGCGCCTCGTCAAGTCCTCAGAGACGGTATGTGTAAACTAAACATCACCTAGTGGCAGTGGCAGATAGACAGCGTTCGGAGACTCAAGACCAAGGTGACTTTGTTATCTGATATGGTTTATCACGAAAGGTAGCTTGAGCTACCTGAGTTCTCCTTGCTTTAGCAAAAATGTATTACAATCAGGAGTCGGGATTGTGCATTGAATTTGGTCCTGTAAGAGTTGATTCTGTTCGTCAGGGTAAAGCAAGAACTGGAAGAAACTGTCATGTTTCAAAGAAACCGACTTGGACCCATTCAAAAGACCACGTAAACATGAGCCCGGGTTCCGTTGTTTTAACGCCACCCCATTTAAAACATTGATTCTTGGGGTGCCAGCTCCTGTGTTGACCAAACTCAGAATGTGGACCAACTCCTTTTTTCATTTGGTGAGATGTAGTGCTTTCTTTGATCGGTGTACCCTTTTCATGCAACCACCTGACAGGGCTGCCAAACCCGTTTCGAACAAGCCAACAATCCCCTACAATGGTTTAACTGATGTCTTACCTTCTGGGACTTTTTTGCTACAGTATCTTGACCTCCTGACAGGGTTGTTCCTTTCTATATTACATTTATATAAGTTATAAGTATACTGCAACCTCTTGGGATCCTCATGAGCACATCATGATGACATCCGTCTGATCAAATCAGGAACACGCGGACCATCGTGGATCCTAAGAAAAATGAAGGACAATTCTCACCTAAAGATGTTGTCTGCCATCCAAAACAAGTATCCCACAAAAACTATCAACGGGAGTCAGGTGAGCTGGGTATGCTCTACAACTGCCCTATCCAAAGAACCAGGGAATCAGGTGTTGTTCTTTTTGGGGCAACGCCCCGAAGGGTTCGTGGCATTTTTCAGGCTCCAGCGTTGTATCCATTGCCTTGGCTGGAACCATGGCGGTCGTGCCTCGGCCGTGTCAAAACTCTGTGAGGGTTTTGAGGAGCGAGCCTTCGGGCCTTCAGCATGCAACCAGCGGGATCGTGCTGGTGGACCTCTACTCACTTCAAACCTTAAACTTGTCTCTTGCAACGCTGCGCCCATAGCGAGCATCGTACGCGTGACGCAGATGAACTATTCAACTACAAACAAGACCCCGGCGCGGCTATCTTAGATATGAACCTCTGTTTCAACAACACATATAAACAACATGCATTACTTCGAAGGATTCTTTCTTGGGTCCACGGTACCTCCTGACTAAGCCTTGTGTGATTGTGTGATCCACCTGATGAATGACCTCATTCCGGCACCTTGAGCCACAGGTGCCTTGCAGTTGAATCAGATGTCCGGACGTTCGTCGGACAACTGGAGGAAAACGTTCGTCCACCGCGCTGACCGCGCTGACCGCGCAGTGCTCCACACGACGGGTCCCCCACCGAATGCTCGCACTGCGCAGTGCTCCACGGAGCGCGCCACGGACCGCGCCGGGTCGTCTGCAGGTCCTTGGATCCACCAGCTTCGTGACTCTGCAGCTGGGCCCCGCTCAACTGAAGGCGGGACACGGGTGGCCGGTGCTTCCTGAAATGGTCACGGTTGGTGCCGGTGCTTGGCACATGCAGGTACACTTAGAGTCATTCTGTTTGTAAAGTAGGTGGAAGAAATATGGATCCCAAAAATGTCTGGGACACGATCTTCCATCTGGAGACTATGCGTCACAATTCTTTTGCAGGCTTTTGATACCCTGTGACGTTTGTCACCGAAACCATGGTGGTCTGGACAGGATGCGCGATCTGCGAGAGGCCAAGCCGTTGCCCCAGGCTTTGCAGGTCCCGGCAGGGCATTGCAGGTTGACCTGTGTAGCTACTGGCTGTCACTTCGACTCACTAACATGGAAGTGGAATGAAGTGGAAAAGGATGAACATGAGCCACTTGGATATGCCTTGGATGACTAGTTTTTGTTCGTCGGAGTGTATCTGCTGTAGGTGGTGCTTCCTCCAGACTTGTTGGGAAACTCATATTTTCTGAGGCATCATCTTCTGGTGCAAGTGTTGGCCAAGCCATGCCCTTCGTGCCTTCCTTGGTCTCAAAAAGACCACAGAACAACAACTCCAGAAAGGAAACTGATGTGCCCCTGTGCGAACACATCTCATGTTGAAGAATCCAAACATGCGATGTCGTTGAAGAACGCGCAAAATCCGCTGCAGAGGCACTTGTGATGGGTGCTGCAGCACTGGGTGCAAGGGCCTTGGTTCGTTTTGCAAGATTGATGCTGTGGAGGATCGCCAAACTTACAGGGAACACATGAGCATATGATCACATTCAGTCTGTAGTTGTCGCTGAGCCTTTGAGAAGCTCTTGTTTGCACGTTCCTTTTGAAGTTTGAAGGCTGGATTGAGCAGAGTTGGCCGAAAAGTCTGGCTCCTAGCATCAGCTCAATGCGAAACGAAGCCTTTCAGACCAAGCTCTCTTAACGCTGTCACTGCAAAGGTGGGCCAGACCAGGGCTTCTGCAGTGGTTTGCCATGCCGAATCCAAGGCCGCCACTAGATTTACTTGTTCATGACAAACCTTTTCCTTTCTGAGCTTCATCAAAGTCGTCAAAGTCATCTATTTGGAACAGCACATAATTTGTGTACTGTGTATTCGCATCAGCCTCACGTGAACATCGGCACCATTGGCCACGTCGACCACGGCAAGACCACTCTGTCTGCTGCCATCTCTCTGGTCTGCGGCCAGTCCCAGCCCCAGATACCACACAGCACATGTATGCAAGAATCAGCCTTGGACTGTTCAGATGGCTTTGGATCAAGACCTACGTAACCCCCAAAACTTGTTCAACACATTTTTCATCTCTGGAAGTGTATTCATTTGGTCCATTCCATCGTTAGGGTCAAACAGGGGTCAAACAGATTGCACCTTTTTTGCAGATTTAGCACCTCTGGCGACACGAAGCAGAAGTCCTATGAGGCTGACACGATCCGCCTCAAACACATAGGAAGTTGCTTAATTTGCCAATCCCTACAACCCCCCCTGAGACGACCATCTCTTTTACTTGTGCTTTTTATGAAGAGATGGGTCCATTTCTTGAAGAACGGCCGCTTCATTTTTGGAGAACACGTTCGATTTCATCCATTTTCAGTCCTTGACATGGTGTTGAATTGAGGTCACCAATTCTTGCAGGTCAGGTCAGACAAGGCCACGTGGTCAGAGGAACGGTGCAGTTCACTGCAGGAGATTGACAACGCCCCAGAGGAGCGGTCGCGTGGTATCACCATCAACGCCTCCCACATTGAGTACGAGACGGAGAACAGGCGAGGTAAGTTCGGTCAGTTCTTTTTTTCCGGCCAATTTGCAATTGTGCATGCCGTGCTTTGCAGAGTCTCGGACGTTTTTGCTCACCCGTGTGATTTTAACTTAACAATGTCTGCTATGTGCTCTTGCACCTTCGCTTTTTGGGCACACCACTTGTTTGTGGACCGTTGGGGCGGTCAGGGGTGCGGTCGTCTCGGCCGCCTGGAAGCTGTATCAGGCATTACTGTCACGTGGACTGCCCAGGGCATGCAGACTATGTGAAGAACATGATCACAGGACCGCCCCGCTTCACGAAAGCATCATGACATGTCTGACAGAGAATCACTTGACATGGTCGCATTTCATACACTTTCATACCACACATGGGATTTCGTTTGGGCACAACATCCCTGGGATTTCTTTTCTGGAGACAGATTCCAGCACCGATGAACAAAAACACCAAGAAGGGGCAGACGTTTCTGTCCATTGGGGAGGAAAGATCTACTTTGGGTAGATGATGTGAACTTGTTATATGACTTGTGAACCAAACAGATTGCATGCCACATCTGCTCTGTTGAGCTTCCACGGCAAAAAACCCTGTCTTGAGAAGAACCTGCCCCACTCCCCCAACCCTTCGCGCTTGCTGGAGGAGCATGCCAAATGGATGGAGGAATTCTGGTGATTTCCTCCCCAGATGGACCCATGGCCCAGACGCGCGAGCACATTCTCCTCTCGAAGCAGGTGCCGGACGCCGCGCTCCGCCGCGCTCCGCCGCGCTCCGCCGCCGGACCTCGGCGTCTGGACCGCGCTCCGCCGACTGGTGCAGGTGGGCGTGCCCAAGCTGGTTTGCTTCATGAACAAGGCGAAGTCCTGGGCGTTCACGCGGCGTTCAGGCTTCGGGGGAAAACAGGTGATTAAAGGTGATTATAAGGCGATGTTCAAATTACAGCAGCTTTGTTTATTAAGCATCTTGATTGAATTGACCCATCTAAGCTCTTCTTGATGTGGCAGAGAGAGAATGGCATTTCTTCACATTTGATACATTTTGATACCAAGTTGTAAAACTTCGCTGAACCTACCTCAAACGCCGGTACCTTAAGAAGAGCTGCTTCAAGATCTTGACAGTCGAGTAGAGCTCGAGTTGATGAAGCTCAGAGATGCTTGAGCAAAAGGTGGATTTGCTCATGAAACAAGATCCGGCCTTTATGAGCTCAATTTCTAAACCATGAAAGCATATGAAAGATCATGAAAGAAAGACATTGCCATTTCTTTGCCATTTCATCATGAAAGATCATGGATCAACCACCAGTGTTTTTCATTGTTTTTTCAAGACATCGGCCCCAGTCGGACGCAAACAGGACGTTTGGGACGATGGAGGTGGTTTTACCGGGGACGTTTGGGCCGGCCGCACGTGGCGCCCAGGTGGACATGATGGATGATGAGGAGCTGTTAGAGCTGGTCGAGCTGGAAACCCGTGAGATGTCCGGGAACTTAGGAGATTAGCCCCTAGTAGTGTCCTTGCTCCTAGTAGCGATGCCAGGACTAGAAGAGCGGAAGGAGACGGTGAAACATGGCTTCAGCTACCACTTCGTTCACCAAACTGTTGACCGAAGATGCGGAGGCTAAATCTTAAAACAAGAACTCACACTTAAACATCTTAAACATCTCTCTTTTTGGACGCCAAGCTGCTGAAAGGCGATCAAAGACTTTTGAATTGAGCTTCTCTGTTGTGCAGATGAATGATTTGAGAGAAGATGAGTGGATAGAAACTGAAACTTGGTGGCATTGCTTTACTCAGGTTGAGCCAGTATGGCTTCCCTGGTGACGACACTCCGTTCGTGCAAGGACTTTCAGTCACGGCGTTCGCACTGTGAACAAGACGAGAGATGTGCATTCGTATGCTCCAACAAAGCAACATGAACGTGGACAACCACCTCTGTAGGAGAAGAATCATCTTGCAAGGTTCCATGAACTGTTCGCTTGCATGAACAAATCAGATAATGTTGCATCACTGCTGCCGTGCGCAGGATCTGCCTTGCAGGCCCTGGAAGCCATGAAGAGCAACCCAGGAACCAAGAAAGGCACCTCTGCTGAATGAAGTCCAAACATTTTGCAGAAGCACCTTCCTTTCATCTCATTCATTTCCCGTTCCAGACTCTGTTTGTGTCGGAAACAAGGGACAGCGAGCAAGATCCTGTGCCGATGGCCCGTGAGGTGATGACAAGTGGGTCGACAAGATCTTGGAGCTGATGGAGACTGTGGATGACTACATCCCAACGCCAGAGCGTGACACTGACAAGCCTTTCCTCTTGGCTGTGGAGGACGTGTTCTCCATCTCTGGTCGAGGAACTGTGTGCACTGGCCGAGTTGAGCAGGGTATTGTGAAGAAGGGCGATGAGGTGGAGATTTTGGGCCGCGGCAAGAAGCC